AATTTGATATTGAAAATATTTTAATCATTTTACAACTACACACACTATAAATATATAAATGCAAAATACTTCCGTAAATAAATTTCAATAAATCAATTGCACACATGCACACAGCTGGTATGTAGATTTTTATTAAATTTATTTTCTGAATTATTTTGCACTTATATATATGTAGTAAAAATATTTTCAATATATTAAAAAATTTTTAAATCGCCGAAATATATTTTATCATTTTTCTATATTCCAATATATATATATATATATATATATATATATATATTGTTTTAAGACGGGCAACAAGAGCCAAATCGCGGATGACAATGCGTTATCCTAACGAAACTAAATAATTTTTCGTTAGAATTAAAATACCGGTGCACAAGGCACCAAATTTTTACTTGGACACGGCCAAGATTTTAAATATGAAATAATCTCATATTTTGAGATTTAATTTCAATACCCCTTTACCCCCCTACGGAAAATAAATAAATGAATGCAAGAGAAAAATATAGATCCGAAAATCGCTGAATCGGGAATCGAACCCGAGACCTTTCGCTTGCCGGGCGACTGCTCTTCCGAGCGAAAGGTCTCGGGTTCGATTCCCGATTCAGCGATTTTCGGATCTATATTTTTCTCTTGCATTCATTTATTTATTTTCCGTAGGGGGGTTAAAGGGGTATTGAAATTAAATCTCAAAATATGAGATTATTTCATATTTAAAATCTTGGCCGTGTCCAAGTAAAAATTTGGTGCCTTGTGCACCGGTATTTTAATTCTAACGAAAAATTATTTAGTTTCGTTAGGATAACGCATTGTCATCCGCGATTTGGCTCTTGTTGCCCGTCTTATACGTTAAATTTATATTTATATATTACAGAGCCTTGTTAAAACTCTTATATTTGATACACGCTGGCTTAAAAAATGCGTTTGTTTACCAACATTAATATATATAACAGAGAAAAGTATAGAATCAAAAGGATCTGAATAGCTCAGCTGGAAGAGCAGTCGCCCGGCAAGCGAAAGGTCTCGGGTTCGATTTCCGATTCAGCGATTTTCGGATCTATATTTTTCTCTTGCATTCATTTATTTATTTTCCGTAGGGGGGTTAAAGGGGTATTGAAATTAAATCTCAAAATATGAGATTATTTCATATTTAAAATCTTGGCCGTGTCCAAGTAAAAATTTGGTGCCTTGTGCACCGGTATTTTAATTCTAACGAAAAATTATTTAGTTTCGTTAGGATAACGCATTGTCATCCGCGATTTGGCTCTTGTTGCCCGTCTTATACGTTAAATTTATATTTATATATTACAGAGCCTTGTTAAAACTCTTATATATATATTGTATTATAAAAAAATTGATATTGATATATTTGAACTCTAATTTACTGGATGATATACTGAACATCCTTGCATTGATTATATATTACTCAACGGTACGTTCTTTCACGTTATAAGTTATTGGAGCAAATTATACAATAGCATCAATAATCAAAAAGAAATTAAGAATAATCAACATATCCCTTATATATATATATATATATATATATATATATATATATATATATATATATACGCACATATGTGCATAAGGATATATAAAATTTATAAAAAGTAGGTACTTATTAGCCTTGCTACGCTACTGCTTTCTGCTACGGAAGGCCAGAAAGCATTTTCAGGCGGCATCTCGCGTATACCGGCACGGTAGAGGAACAAGGAGAACACGTGATTATCGGTCCTTGTCTCTCTACGGTGCGTCCGCGTGAGCAATGCAATGGTGTATGTACGTGTACAGACATGCACCACTACATAAAACCCGAGAATTGGATTCTCGGCGTTGGCAACACTGAAATCGGAGTTTCGCGTTGTCACCGCGCGAGGTCTCCAACATCAATTCGGAGTTTGGCCGACCGACCTGTCGACCCTTAAGGGTCGGCAGGCGACATGGTGGAGACGCCTATCGGCCGGCCGGGAATTAGAGATTCTTATATTCCAGATATTAGCGAAACTACTGAATGAATCTTATTAAATTTATGATATTCTTAATCAGTAAGCTCAAATGCAGTCCGCCAAAGAGTTATTTATTGAAAAAAAGATGAAAATAAAATTTATAATATAACTTGGGGGAATGCGCAGCTAGTAACGGGTAAGGTTGGGTTAGCCAGGAGTCCGTATTTTATTTATTATAAATTTTTCAGAGCAAAAATGCAAAATTCGACTCTTTGGCGGACTACTTTATTATATCAAGAATATATTAAAAAAAAAAAACCAAAGTTATGTCACTTATTTTATGAAATATCTGGACGATAAGATTCTCACTAGATTCATAAGGAGTAGGGGAAATTTCCGTGGTAACATACTGACAGCTAACAGCTTGACAAGGAGAGACTATCATTCTGTCCTTGTCTCTCTTACATCGCATATGTAGTAACATCCATGTAGACACAAACACTAATGCGTTGAACGAATGCGATTATTGGGAGATATCAGCAAGAACCGGTTTTCGTATTATCATTGTTTCTCTGTATATGTATATTATATGTAAAAGAACAATAAGAATAGCAATAATTCTTGCCTAACATTATCTTCCAATTATCGTTTCGTGTACGCAATATATATTTCACATTATGCATCTGTAACAAATAATCGAATGATTTATTTAAATATTTGCATATAATCTATATAAATCTATATAATAAATAAAATGTGTAATAAATTATCGAATGATTTATTTAAATATTTGCATATAATCTATGTAAATAAAATATGTACAAATAAAATAATATTTATGCAAATATTATTTTATTTGTGTACATATTTTATTTATATACCCAAACAACACCAAGTCCAAAATTGGCGCGTAAGATATCTTTATAAGATGTCTTTTTGATATCATATCATAAGATAGCTGTCTTAAAGATTTCTTAATGCTATCTTATGCGTCAATTTTAGACTTGGTGCTGTCTGGGTAGATAATATGCAAATTAATATGTTTATATATATGCACACACATAGATATGACAATAGCGTTATCGTGATTTTTTCGATTATTAAAGTTGTATTGTATAATCTCTCTCTTATCTCTTTCTCTCTGCTACACATAAATACTATTATAATGTAAAAGAACTTACGAGTAACGTATGATGGCTCAATGCAATAATATTCAATCACGTAAAAAACTTGAGTTCAAATATATCAATATCAATTTTTTTACAATATATTAGAATATAGAAAAATTATAGAAATATAAGGCGATAAACTTGAAAATTTTTAAATATTGAAAATATTTTAATCATTTTTACAATTACATACACTATATATATATATATATATATATATATATATATATAAATGCAAAATAAGTCCGTAAATAAATTTATCAAGTAATAAATCCGTTGCATGCTCGCAGCTACATATGCACACACAAATAGCTGGTATGTTGATTTTTATTAAAAATTTATTTTCTGTATTATTTTGCATTTATATAGTGTGTATGTGGGTGGGTGTGTGTGTGTGTGTGTGTGTGTGTGCGCGCGCGCGCGCGCGCGCGTGTAGTAAAAATATTTTCAATATATTTATAAAATTTTTATTGCTGAAATATATTTTTTTATCATTTCTCTGTATTCCAATATATTATTAAAAAATTGATATTGATATATTTGAACTCTAATAATTTACTGGGTGATACATACTGAACATCCTTTGCTTTGCAGATTACAATATTACATCGACTATTGTATCTTTTATGTTATAAGCAAATTATATGGAGACGCATCAATCAATCAATCAAGCAATACATAAGATTGCTATACAAGCTAATAATAATTTATATTCGTTCTCTTATTCTTGTCTCTCGAAAAAGTATAAGCAATAAATTATCAAACCTAACAAGTACCCGTGTCTAACATTGTAGACTAATTTACTTTCAATTATGCTACTGTTATTATTTATCATTAGACAATTATAAAACATATATATATATATAGCACTACAAATTATATATGTATATGTTTTATAATTTATTTTATATTTTATTATTTGACAAGTTAAATCTCTCCGAATCATAATTTGCGCTTACATCTTAAAGACGAAATGCTGTAACTCTCTGATATTCCAATCTGTATTTTTGAAAAGGACCACATCCCGTATGGTCGAAATGTTAAAATAAATATATATATACAACTTTAATTTGAGGCCAGTGTAGTCAGACCAAATCTATAACCTCTGTTTTATAATTGTCTAATGATAAATAATAACAGTAGCATATATAATTGAGAGTAAATTAGTATATTTTATATATATATATATATTTATATATAAATAATATATCCACATATGTGCATAAGCATATATAAAATTTACAAAAATGGGTGCTTATTAGTCTTGCTACGTTACTGCTTTCTGCTACGGAAGGCCAGAAAGCATTTTTAGGCGGCATCTCACGTATACCGGCACGGTAGAGGAACAAGGAGAACACGTGATTATCGGTCCTTGTCTCTCTTACGTGCGTCCGCGTGAGCGATGCAGTGGTGTATGTACGTGTACAGACATACACCACTACATAAAACCCGAGAATTGATTTCTCGGCGTTGGCAACACTGAAACCGGAGTTTCGCGTTGTCACCGCACGAGGTCTCCAATATCAATTCGGAGTTTGCCTGGGTGTACTGCCGACCCTTAACGACGGTCGAAAAAGAGATTTGTCATTTTAGTTTGCAAAATGGACGTGTGTATAGGTGGAGTGGTGTTCATACAAGATATGTGTGTGCTTTTTTTGCAAAATGACAGAAGGCTGAACGCGTAACACGTAATGCTCGATGATTGGTTAGTGAATTATTTTTAATATCGTCACATGTGACATGTCATATATGCGCAACAGCTGAAATATATATACAAGTTAATTAATTAAATTACATATTTCTCATCGGATCGTGTGATCAAGTGAGACGTTTAACCCAATTATATATTTCATTTTATTCTTCGATTAAAATTATTGATAAAAACATAAATAAATATATCGAAGCATACTCTGTATGTAAATATTATTTGATATTGCTCGTTTATTGTCAGACTTCCATCATCAGTCTTTCTCGTGTATAGTTGTGTACTAGGAAATTTCAGAATTCTCCTAGTAACTTCGCAAGTTAGCAAAATATGTAATGCATTTGGGATTATAGTAATTGTCCTTTTTGCTCATTTGCTTCGTGCTTCTGTTAGTGTATCTGTCGTCGCATTTACGCACATACATTCTGTCAATTAAACATAATTGACGCACGACGGAAAACGAAACATGATAGAATAATCGAGAAAAATGTGGGGCAATTATAGGGGCATTTATAATGTATTGTGTATTTTGATCTCTGCTGTTTATGGACACGATCTGCAACACTTTGATGATACAGTTACATTCAAAATAGATTGGCCCGGAAAGAGCGATACAGAATTACTAGTAAGTGTACTCAAACGTTTTTCCATAATTTAAAATTTATTCGCATTTGTGAGCGATAATTTCCTTGTTTGATGACGTATATATGTATGACGTGTATTTTCTTTTTGTTGCAGAAACCTCACTCGAACGCTGAATCATATTTTATAACTTCAGCTAACAACGAACGATATAAGTGTTTAATTCCAGGTATAATAGAACAGGAACATGATTACAGTGAATCGTACAATGGACCAAATCCAATACAACTTTTGCAACCGATATTTGCTCAAAACAGTTGCTCCTATAGAGTATGTGTTTGTAGTTTGTATATTTTTATATTTATCTATGTTGTAATATGCCTGTGTAATTGTCTGAATTTAATTTTGCCAAATAGCTTGAGTCATATTGGACTTACGAATTATGCCATGGTAGATATGTACGGCAATATCATGAAGATAGAGAAGGAAAGAAGATTAAGATACAGGAATATTACCTCGGTACTTTGGACAAGGCACAAAAAGCAAAACTTTCGGCTTATTACGACGAACAAGCAAAAAATCCCAACAAAAAGTTAAATATACCGATCAAAAAGATTGATGGAATTAATATGCCATATGTTGAAATTGAGATGCATGATGGTACAACATGTGATTTAAATAACAAAGCAAGAATCATTAAAGTGTTGTATGTTTGTTATAAACATGGTAAACATGATGTGTATTCACTCAAGGAAACAATGACTTGTGAATACGAAGCAATAGTGCTTTCACCAGTACTGTGCAGTCATCCAGATTACAAACCACAAGACACTGGAGAAAATGAAATTACATGTCAACCTGTCGATAATGCACCAAAGAAACCAAAGTCACTTATGTTGATGGAACTGGAAAGTATAAAAACGCGACATCAACAACAAGTGAGGGTAAATCTGTGCGATAAATATTCAATACTTGCAGATTCTTTCCTATTTTTGCTTATTTTTTATCTTTAAGTATCATTTGATGTATATTTTTTCTGTCATGTATTAATAGTAATTGTCTTCAATTTTATTAATTTTAAAATTGAGAAGAGTTGTAAAAATACTTATATATTAATAGCAGATTTGTATTGCATACTAAAAAATATATCAGTAACCTCATATTTTTTGAAAACTCAATAGAACAATATAGGAAACTGCTTCTATTCTCTATATATATATCTGTAGATAACTAATATACATACATCTTTCTTTAATTAGGCTTTAATAATTCTTTAAAAAGTGTGATAGAATTATGCAATAGATTATTTCTTTACTTTTTAATTTTAAGCACTAAACAATTTCTTTTTTTTCTTTCTAATTTATTTGCTATTTATTTACTGTCTTAATTATTTGTTGCACAGGATGACAAGCAGCAGAAAGTGTATGCAATCATCCGTGTAGATAAGGAGGGCCAGGTCAGAATATTTTGTATATATTGGGAAGAAAGGGGAAGGGGGGAGAATTAATTAATGCTTGTCAATCATGTAGTATCATTAACTTCTACAAATTATTTTCATTCTGTCCCTTCTTTATCTACATACTTATACTCGATATATTGTTATTTCACCAATGTTTAATTCATATTTGTTGCCATTTGAAAAGTTGTTGCATTGTTAGATATAATTTCTTATCCTCACATTACCAGTATTACATATCCTATGTAATAATATATATATCCTTACAATCAATATTATTACACATAGTAACAATAGTATCGAATAAAATGTAATAACATCAATTTTGCAATAATATATATATCCTTACTATTATTATTATGTTACATAGTAACAATAGTATCGAATAAAATGTAATAGCATCAATTTTGTATATACATTCAAAGTGATTAATTATATCAGTTTGCTGCATAATAATTATGCGTGTGTATACATAAGAATAATTTTTTAATTGAGTAAAAGAAATTTAGAGGTTTCCTTATAAAAAAATATTGTATAACTTTTTGCCATGTAGAAAATTGTAATGAATTGATTACAGGATGGCGAGCCAAGAGTAAGGGTTGAGATACATCCACTGGATGTTATGGATAAGCAGGGCAATGGTGATGAATCTATCAGTGCAATGAGTGATCAGAATATTAGTCCTGCCGAAGTTAGTCCTGTTCAGAGTTTCCTCAGTGGAAAGAATTGCTTACATGGGGTAAGTATTCATAATCACTATTTTTTTTCGTTTTTATTAAATATATTTTTAATATTTTAATATGTTAATAGGGTAATGGCTGGTGGAAGTATGAATTCTGTTATGGCCGTTCTGTTGTACAATATCACATAGAAAGAGATGGTACGAAAACAATCGTCAATCTCGGTAGATTTGACAAACAGAAGCATTTAGAGTGGATTGCCGCACATCCACACAAGAAACCCAAACCGTTAGAGTTAAGAAAACACCTCTCACACTTTTATAGTGATGGAAGTAGCTGCGATAAGACTGGAGCTTCTAGGCAAACTGAAGTATGCATTATTATAAATTTGAAAATTATTTTTCTAAGTTAAACTAAAAATGACATCTAAATATTATATTGTGGTGAATAATTTTACATGATTTCTTCATTTTAGGTAAAATTGAAATGTGTGGAGAACCATACTGCAAGCGCATCTAGTGTATCATTATTTTTATTGGAACCCAAAACATGTGAATATGTTCTAGGAGTTGAATCACCATTGATCTGTGATATCTTAGAATATGCCGATGAAAATGGACTTTTAAGTGAAAAGTTTCAAGCAAATTTCGATAAATTGAAATCTACAGCCTTGCATTCAGAACAAGATAATTTAGATGAGCGAATAGCTAATGGAGACGATTAGAGCAATCAATTTGTTTTCTCGATGTCGATTAAATTATCAAAACGTTTGTTATAAATATAAAAATTTATTGTTTATTGAGTAATAAAAAATTGTATTACATAAAACAATTGCATTAATATGAAATCGAAATTAATTAAATTATATGTATGCGTTTAATGTGCTGGTAAAAAGACTTTCATTCCAAACTATCTAACAATATAAATATTTAATAATTACCACGTGTAAATGCTCTTCTATTATGTAAAGCAAGTGCATATCAAAAGGCATTAATAGCATTCTAGCGTATGTGCTTATAACGCGTGTATCAAAATGAGCCAAACAATTTGTTGGAAAATATTGAATTTTTTTCAGACTAAATAAAAGAGACCAAATTAATACAGGATACGCGTAAGTTAATGGAAACTTTATTTCGGCTTGTTTTCTCTATCCGAATGATATCGATAAGAAATAAAAACTTGTAATAAGGCAATATTTCTGTGAGAATGTTCAGAATTTGCATCATACAGTATTGTAATCCTGGTTACAGTTATAAACGACATCGCATTAGCCGATATTCAGACCGATCCCGACACGGAACTGTTGCTTCTTGTGATTCAAGAAGCCGCTTATGATTAACGAAGCCTCGGGAATTGGATATAATTTCTTTTCAAACACGGCACCCAGGCTGGTCTCCGAATTGACGAATCCTCGACAGATGAAGCCTGCGTAAGGGATGTCGACACGATACGCTATCGTGCCAATGGACTCGTGAATACGGGTATTTGTCTCTAACTCAACGCCGAGCTGCAGCTGCTCGCTCGCCTTCCGATGATAACAAACATGAATGCCTGCCTCACCGAAGGTGGCAGATAATGTCGTGGGACCGGTGCTGTGCCGGAACGCAGCGCACATCAATGTCTGCTGACCTCCTGGTATCAGGGAACCCCGTAGATGGGCGATCTCTGTACCCAGAGTTATTCGCGGCGTGATAGCTTGTAGATAGTGCAGCACCAACGTGCCCTGCAACCTGGTCAGATCTGGATTCGCCAGGGTCATCGCTATCGTGCAATCGTCGGAGCGATATTCCAGGCCCGAACTGAAGGCCTTGCACTTCTTGTCGATAATCTGCGTCGCGAGTTTGAATCTGTATCTACAGCCCAGCGTGTGCACAAAGCTGGCGCTCAGGTTGCCACTGGGTGTGATCTCGCCTGAGATGATCGGATACTTCTCCAAGAAGCCTACCCTCTTGGTGCCGACATAATTCACGCCGAACTTGAGACCGTATGGCGTCACGGAACTCAACGTCATCCTGTACGTCACGTTGAAGTGCTTGCTTAGGGTTTTCCTCAATAACAAGTAGGCGCCTTCGAAGTTCTGTGGATAGAGCTCCTTGGTCTTCGCGTGAAGATCCTCGAAACTGCTGGGATTCCCGGGTTTCCTGTCCACTTCCTCGAAGCAGGGAACACATGGTGGATCTTCTAGATTGGCGGCTGGGGTTGCAACGAACTCGGTGTGTTTGTTTATAAGCGCTTGTACGCTACCCATAATGACAGAAATATTAGCTTTCGATAAGTAAACCGATATATCTCAATTAGATGTACAAGTAGCATGTTTGATATGCGTCGACCTTCACTCTGTATTTAATTATATCGGTGATCGAAAATTTTATTATCGATAAAATTTTAATTTTAATGATAAATGTAAATAATTTAATAATTACTTTTTTTAACTTTTAGAAATAAAATGCGATCTTCAAGTACAGAAGTATAAATTTTACTAGGACAATATGTTATATATTTGTGCCCATCTTGTACATTACAAAATATTGAAACTTTTTCTGATAAAATTTCTTTATTAATGCACAAAAGGATCTTTAAATTGGACAAATGATATATTCAAAGAACCACGTGTGAGGAATATGTACGTATTTATATATTATACTGCTATATTTTTATAATGAATCGCACGTATAATTACACTTAGTTTCGTGATAGTAGCTAATATGTACAAGTTAATTGTTATATCAAAAAGTTGATACAATCCCCAGCAAACACCAAGTAACAATTATATAACTATTATAATTTCCCATTCAACAATATAAATGCAATATAACACGCGAGTTGATATTTTATTTCAAGTATAAATTTTGCAAATAATTATTCTATGTAAACAAACAAAACAAAAATATTTATTATTAAAAGCTTAATAAAAATTATGCATATGAAACGCATGTGCAAACTGAAGACTAGAAATCTGTCCTTGTGATAAAAGAAACATATCACGTTAGACAAGACTGTGTGATTAACAGATTATTATCAGGAAGTAACAAAAGGATCGCTAATTTTTAGGCATGTACAAAAGATAGCATTAGATAGATGTGTATTATATCTGATCATTCAATTAATATTTTTTCTGCAATATCAAAAAAATATCAATTTTTTACACAATAAACTTTGCAAAATCTAAAATTTATGTACATTTTTAGGGGTAGATCAAAGAGTTTAAAACAAATTTTAATTACGTTTTTTCAAATACTATTTTGTATTTCCCAATGATAAACATATATGATAAATACTCAATGATAAATTTTGACAGCATTTAGTTATTTAGATTAGATCTCTTTAAGTCAATTCAATTAAACGTATCTTTATACATATACATATATACGTTATCTTAATATCTGTCAAATTGTTTCCATATATAAATGGAATAAAATAACAGTACAGAGAAGAGTATATATCTTCTTCCTTAATCGTGAACATTTTTTTCAATACAATCATCGTTTATAAACAACGAAATGAAAAAGTGATTTGTATTTTGGCATTACTCTGCGCAGTTTATGTAAGTTCTGTAAATTCAGTGTAATCATTTCTTTTGACTAAAAAAGGAACAAATAATTCAATCATTTTAAAATAAGACAAATCAAATAAAAAAAATTGCCATGTTTAATTAGTAAACTAAAAATATTTTTCAGAAATTATGATGTATTAATAGAAATATCACATATAAAAATCAATTTTGTAGCTTTAATTTGACCTATTTATAAAAATTGTTTAAAATTTATTTTTAAATTTAATTTCTTTATGCAATATCTTCAGAAAAGTCAAATTATTATTTTTACATAATATTTTAATAATGAAACTTTTATCTCGCATCTTCAAGACGTCGGAGCAAGATGTGACGAAACCCTTGATGAACTTTGAAGAATGGGTGAACATTTACAAAAAAAATATCGAAGCTATTCTTAAGAATATTTCACTTTTCGAAAAGCAAATAAAGCAGATTCTACAAGTCAAACTCAATGATCTGAGGACTCGGACTTTGTTTAAAGTTAATAATATTCTCAATTCAACATTCGAGAATATTAAGGTGCATATTTTGTCCAGATAATGAGAAGACAAATGCATGTGTTATATCATAAAATATAAATGTTTTAAATTATAATGAAAACATTGAAAACTTGCATTTATTTTTGGAATAGATTTTTATGAAAAATATGTTCAATTATTCACATATAACAACAAAAATACATTTGCATATTTATTATCTTTTCAGTTATCTATCGAGAAGGCGAAAAAAGAGGGTAAAAAAATTAATGAATGTTATAATTATGCAAAGCATAATTTGGAAACGAGGAAAGACAATACAATTGCTGAATTGGAGACGTACATCCAATATGGAAATAAGACTATGGAAGCCCCATTAAAGAACGTGGCAAACAATATTAAGGTAACTATTTATTTTAATACGTAAACGTATATATTTAGAAGTATAGTGAAATATTGATTTTATTAATTTTAATTAATTTCAATCAACTGATAAAAATTATACTTTCAATGTTAATAAAATAACTTTAGTTGCTTGCATGTATTTTACACAGCGAACAATATGACCTGTATAATTACGTTATAATGAATATGATAGGAGAAATCATTTTTTTATAATATCTTTCAGGTAATAAAGACGTTGCTGACAAAGTTAAACGCTATCATTCCAAAATGTTACTCTTCGAACTATATCAAGATGCAGAGCTGCATCGCAATGAATCTTGCTCGAACTAAATTGTCGTTAAAAGATATTGATAGTAATGCCATAACGTTAATAAATACCGGGACAACCGAGTATATAAATACAATTAGAGAGGTGAAAAATAGCATGATAAAGCTTGTCGTTGATATCCGCATTTTCAACACAAGTATCATTGTTCGTATTAATGGTTGCATAAAAATGCATTTACAGACAATCTCATATCAAATAATTTTAAATCCATTGCCATTTATTAATTCTTTATGTTGAAATTTTTAATAAAATGAGAAAAAGGCTTATAGTAATTTTAATAAATCTGTGTTATCTATATAAATATTTTTTCATAATTTTTACATTTCATTCCTTTAATATATATATTTATTCTTAATTAAAAGCATTAATTATTAATCTAAAAATATTCGATATTTGATTTTTAAAACAGACATAACAATGTTCTCAACTTTCAAATAAATAGCTCATCAAAATAAGCAACTCACTGCGGATTATAATATATGTGCAGTGTTAAAAAATATTCAACTAGCTGACTTTTCATTGTAAATGTGTATTAATTGCTTTATAATAAGATATCATCCAGTATATATATAAGCAATGATATATTTGCGGTATAGGAATGATAAGTGGGAACAGTAGTAATTGAATACTACAACAATAGTAGCAACAATACCAGCAGTAGTAGCAGCAATAATAACAATAATATTATTTATAATTATATTTATCATTAACATACTTCGATAGAATTATACATATCATTAATTATAATCGCCATGGTCATGATTATCTTTACTTATATACATGTGCATACGTATATATATGCGTAGACCCATAAAAACACACTCGATAGTGCGGATGTTTCATCGTTAATAATATATATATATATATATATATATATATGTAATATGTATATATACATATACATATATACAGAATATCTCAAAAGTTGCGCTTTTTCTCTCGGATCATAATATTTCTCAAATGTAGTTTTTTTAAATGAAATTTTGATTGAACTTTGTATTACATCTGTATTATATTTCCATATCAAACATCATAATAATTGTGCCTTAAAAAAATTAAGATTATTAGGTGTTATTTTCACATTTCTAAAAAATTTTTAATTCCTTTAAACATTAATCTTTTGACCAATAAAAAGTTATTTTGATAGCTGATTGAGCTATATTATCATACTTCCTTGCTTACAGTTATCCAATGTATCTATAATTTAGAAAATATGCACGATTTATGAGACACCCTGCATATGCATATATATTTTTTTTCATTTCATAAGAATATTATATGTACACAGGGTGGCTCAGAAATAGCGGAGTATTATTAGTAACTGAGTTTTATTATTTCTTATTGTTAGTGAAAAAAGCTCAGCTTAAACTGATTTATGGGTTTAGATGTGTAAAGTTAGATTTTGCCGGAAACATTCACGCGATAAATAAATAATTTGAAACATCGTTATCAAGTTAGAATCAGTCTGCCCATCGATGGCTACATGATTATTAATTAAACATAACTTGGAATGGGAAAATATTAATGTATATTAATGTATAATCTGCAAAATGAAAATTTTGTAGCTTCCTGATTATAATCCAGAGATACAAATTATGTAAAGATTATAATTGCGACTTGGATGGCGATTACTGGTACCGCGATGCATATAATACTATCGTGCTATAATTGCTATACTATGAAAAGTATATGCTTACCTTGCTCTATTTCTCTTTGTCTCTCTTTCTAAGAAATTGAATTTTAAAACATTTAACACATCTTAATGGGCGCACAATTATTTTTACTACAAAAATCTAAGATACAGCATTATTTAGATATTTCTTCTCGCTTGTATGAACTATAAAAGCTCGCTTCTTTCATGAAAATAAATATCACACGCCATTAAGACTATAATTATTGTTCTAGTAATAAGAACTATAAAGGGATAGAATTAAAATATTACAAGAGCGCATATTAATGATATGGCTATCAGGATATAAAGATTAATATTTATAACGATAAATTGTCCTAAATGGATTATATGTTGTCTTATTTACAAAATATAATCTGCGTAGAATTGTTGCTCTATAGACCATACAATTGACGATTAATTCACCGCGCACTAGGATCTCATTATTTCGCATACAGTAAAAAATCTTAAAAACCGATATGCATCGCGGTACAAGAAGAGGAATCTCGCATTCAGAAGATGAATCTGGAATTTTACGGCAAAATGCTTAAAAATTTGAAAAATACCTTTTGCAAAAACTATTACAGACAACATATCCAACGATGAGAAATTTTTCTAAGTCACGTTTGCAACGAATTTTCTTCTCTTTCTTTCTAAATCGGAATGGCCGATATAGAAATATCCCTAAAAACGGTTTAAAATAATTATTTATGCGAACAAAATATATTCAGCAATTAATATGTGGGCAACAAGTCGAAATTATTATAACAATTTTATATTTCAATATATAATAACTGAGAATTCTGAAGAAAAATAGAAAGAAAAGATTGAGGAGTTCATACACCATGCATCTGCATGAATTCCAAACTCGTTATGATAGCTTATGAAACATTATAAAGTATCTTAATAACTTTATTGTAACTTCATCTCTTATTTTCCTTCTATTTCATACGAATCATTCTAACAGCAAATATTCGGTTCTGTCTAAGAATAATAAGCTATATACTAGAGCTCCTCTGTAAATGCAATTGTACTTAACAAATTATGAGCAAATTCTTTTATTATAATTTATTAACAGTACCACTAACTGTGTGTTCCCGACCTATATATTATCCTCTCTGGTGCAATATATATATATATAACGACTCCTATATATATATATATATATATATATATATATATATATATATATATATATCGTTTTGAAACGATATTGTTATGGTGGAATTAATTAGACAATAAATCATCAAGATTGAAATAAGGATAATTCAACAGTTTCGCCATACTTGATATAAGAGAGCATTACAATACTTAAAAACAAGATGCAAATCCTTGACTTAAAGGATAACGTAGAGGACCTACATATGTGACAAGTTCAGCAGGAGTACATAATTTTAAGATTGCGATATTTTTTAGGTCAGGAAGTCGGATAAATATATCTTATTCCCATATACATTTACAAAAACAATTATATATATATATGTATATATATCGATAGTTTGTACACATCCCGTTACGTATGGATTTCGTTATTTTTTACCGTGCACGAATGATTGTTTCAACCAAACTATTTCGAGAATATTGAAACATTTCGCGGATAGAGGAAGATTGTATAACACGTCAAGATGAAGAAATATACTTGTGACTTCCTGCACACATAAAGCTCATCGCAATATATTCTCCGCGTCCTTTATGCGCAGGTGACGTGAATGTAGAATCTGACCTGTGCATCCTTATTAGTCATCCAAGAGATATTACTGTCATGCCAAGACCTAGCAAGCACACGAATCACCTCTGCCATTGCTTCTTTGGTCATTGCTCAATTTGATTTGATCCGGAAATTCATTGTACAGTTCAACCTAAGAGTTACAAAATTAGAGATTAGATTATAGTTATATGTTTAAAATAACATACAGTTAAGATATTCAACAATTTCTGTTCACTTACTTCACTTTCTTGAGCTAAAGCATTTTTAGCTATTGTTTGGAAAGCCTGCTCGACATTAATAGCCTCTTTTGCACTAGTTTCAAAGTATGGAATATTATTCTTTGATTGACACCACTGTTGTGCTCTCTTGCTCGATACCTAAAACAAAGATTATAAAAATAGTATGAAATAAATGGATTAATAAAAATTGACTTTAAAGCTTAAATTATAAAATTAAATTATATTAGGCTATAACTAATATTTATGTTAATGTGCATAAAACTATACAAAAAGTTAAATTATTTTACAATTTAATTATAATGAACAAATAATTTTACTTACTGCCCTTGATTCTAGATCTACTTTATTTCCGAGCACGACAAACGGAAAATTGTCTGGATCCCGAGGAGAAGCTTGAATTAAAAACTCATCCCTCCATGAATCTAGAGATTTGAAGCTAGTTGGAGCAGATACATCAAAGACAAGTACACAACAATCAGCGCCTCTGTAGAAAGCCACTCCTAATGATTGAAATCTTTCTTGTCCTGCGGTATCCCAGATCTGAGGAAAAGAAAATACTTTTTAGATACATATATAAGGTAATAGATTTAAAATAGAGATGCATATACATTACCTGCATAGTGACTATTCTATCCTCCACCATTACTTCTTTAGTCAAAAAATCTGCTCCTATTGTTGCTTTATATTGATTACTAAACTTTTTGTTAACATATTGATTCATCAAAGAAGTTTTTCCAACTCCTGAATCTCCAAGAATAATTACTTTCAGCAACACTTTCTTGCGGGATGCCATTCTGCTGAAAAGATAAAATAATATTAAGAATTAACTCTCGTAATAAAACATTTAAAACAAATTATTGTAATTTTAAGGTAGAGGCACAATTATGACTAATTTAAATGTGCAACATATTTAAGTTACAGAATAAGAAGTCCTTTTTATCTCACGTTGTTGATGATTCATGATCAAAAAGAATAATTTTTAATAATTTACAATTAATATAAATGACAAACATAAAATTTATAAAAACTATAAAAAGGAAGGAATATTTAATATACTAAAAGTAAAAGATATAAATTTCAGCTGAGATCAATTCATTATTTTTATCTAAATATATATAATAAAAATTGTATATTTTTTTTTACTTTGAAGGCTTTCAAATTTAATTTAAACACAATTGGAATATTATAAATTTCAGGTTAAAACGGTTGTCATTTTCTATATTTTGATTCTTGTTATCAAGATAAAAGAAAACTTTAGATTTTGATGTCTCCACAATTATTTTATATATAAAAATCAATAAAATTATAGCTTTCTTTTTATTTTATCATTCTATATAATGACGAAGAATTATAAGCACACAGTGAAATACTTTCTGAATTAAAAATATCAGAAAAATCAACTTTCAATGTATTGTGTATTGTCCGTACTTTCTCTATTATTAATATATCACGGATATCAAAACAATGAAGCTCAAGGTTTACTACCGTGTCGAAAGTCCGATGTAGAGTATCTTGAAGAAAATGACTGATCGTATGAATCATCTAACAATGTGACAAGAGGAAAGTGCATGCATCTCGGAGTAACAATGACGTATATATGTATATGTACAACGCACTCGCAAGATGAAAAAAAACCGAGACGGCTCGAGCGACTGCTTTCTTTTCGAGGATGTTTGAGCGCGAGTTTTTGCGCGCTCGACGTCGAACGACACTTCTAGAGGTCCCGTAATTCGGAGAATCCGCGACGAGTAAATATTGCGACGCGAATAAGGGGCGAGCGAGCCGAGATAGGGATTAATACGTCGCAAGCGCGGAATCCGTTCAACTGCGCGATGCTGTCGCGGAAACCTGTCACACGCGCGAGCGAAATGCACGCATATATATCCGTGGCTCGATTTTCGACGTTTTCGCGCGACACGTGAAAATATACGCACAGGCCACACCAGGGTGCGGCGATCCCGGGGACGGCGTGAACGTCGGGTGTCGCGTCGTGCCGTTTTACCTGGAACTCGGTAGAAAATATCGACGTGAACAAACGCTCCAGCACACTTTACTTTACACAAAGAAAATGGCGTGTTATGAAATCACGAGTATGACAACGATGTCGTCACCTGGGGGTCGATTGTGTATCTCAAAACCTAGTGAAAATGACAAAAGTGAGCATTCACTTGATTGGCTAAAAGGGTGCGATTACATGGACGCGCGGAAACGCGGAAGAGAAAGTAACTAAACTTTACTAGAGTCCCGCATTTCCGCGCGTTCCGTTCCGTCTGTTTTGATTGCCTTATATTACATGGAGCACATTTTGAGCGGAAAAGCGGAACGGGGAATTATAAAATATTAATATTTAACTATATTTATTGATTAAAATGCTTGTATTCAATAGATAAGTTGAAAAGATGAACATATTAAAAGGAATTACAATGAATTAAGTAAATATAAATTTAAAAAATTAATACAAATGTCTATTTGTCACTATACCGTTCCGCTTTTCCGCTCAAAATGTGCTCTATGTCACAGATTAATAGACAGATCGCCAAAGGTCTGGATGAAGGAGAGACCAGCATTTCTCACTGATTTCAGCGCCATATCGTAGTAGTGGTCAATGCAGTAACTATTAATACGTTCCCAAGATAAGAGCGTCTCATGCTCATGAACTCGTCCGGCGGCATGTACGAAATTTATCTTTTCGTAGCGTTCGCGTATTTCGGAAAGGACAGAATTTTATGACGTTATAAATAAATAAAATATTAACCTGACCTATTATAATTATTTTTTAATAAATGTTTCATTATTATTATCATCTAAGTCTAAGTCGTTTAATTAATTTTTAGTTTTTTAATAATTAATTTAATTTATTCTAATCATTTTAATATGTGAAAAATACTAATACGTATACGTTTTATAATGAATTAATATATTTCGAGAGTCGAATTATATATTTTTAATAATATAAAAGTGTTCAAAAATTATATTTGACTTTTAATATATGTGATATAATAAAAGGCCAACTTAACGAGCTTATATGCTATTAATTGAAAAATTTTTTATTAATTTACGTCATAATATACAAAAGTTAAGATAAACGTTTCGACTGTACGACAGTCTTTTTCAATATCATTGATATTTATTATAGGATTCTACATGGGTTTGCAATGGATAATTTTTGTTAATGGCGTGCCTTTAACTGGTCGCCTTTTTTTACCTTTTTTTAAAGGTGATATTATATACTGTACGTACATTCATAGTATGAATATAGAATATTCGTATAATATCATGTGCTGTCTGGGAAGTGATTAATTGGCGTAGTGATAAATTTCTACAAGAGAATAAGGAGCCTTTAAATTCTTAATGTAAAAAATTTCAAGTAATTTTCTTTAATAAAATTTAATTAAAAATTTAATTAAAAAATTTTTGAACATTGTGTTAAATCACATTTAAAATTGTGATTATTTCAATAAAAAAACATTTTGTGTAAAAATATATTTTTTATATTTAATAAATTTTATATATATATATGCATATGTAAAATATTCTCTCTCTCTCTCTCTCTCACACACACACACACACAACGGGGGCCAAATCTCTCAAATTGGTTTCAAGATCAATTAGCCTGGATTCGCACCAGGGGCAAAGTCTGTTGGTAATGTCAAACGAATTTAGCCTGGACTTGCACCAGGGACAAAGTCTTTTGGTCAAGTCTACGAAATTTAGCACGGACTCGAACCAGGGGCAAAGTGTGTCGGTAAGGGGCAAAGTCTATCGCACGAAGATGGCGGTCTCTTCTTTAGGCAGGCCTTTGGCGATCTGTCTATTAATCTGTGTCCATGTCACAGATTAATAGACAGATCGCCAAAGGCCTGCCTAAAGAAGAGACCGCCATCTTCGTGCGATAGACTTTGCCCCTTACCGACACACTTTGCCCCTGGTTCGAGTCCGTGCTAAATTCGTAGACTTGAACCAAAAGACTTTGCCCCTGGTTCGAGTCCGTGCTAAATTTCGTAGACTCGACCAAAAGACTTTGCCCCTGGTGCAAGTCCAGGCTAAATTCGTTTGACATTACCAACAGACTTTGCCCCTGGTGCGAATCCAGGCTAATTGATCATGAGACCAATTTGAGAGATTTGGCCCCCGTTGTGTGTGTGTGTGTGTGTGTGAGAGAGAGAGAGAGAGAGAGAGAGAGAGAGTGAGAGAGAATATTTTACATATATGCATATATATATATAAAATTTATTAAATATAAAAAATATATTTTTTACACATAAAATGTTTTTTTATTGAAATAATCACGATTTTAAATGTGATATAACACAGTGTTCAAAAATTTTTAATTAAATTTTTTAATTAAATTTTATTAAAGAAAATTACTTGAAATTTTTTACATTAAGAATTTAAAGGCTCCTTATTCTCTTGTAGAAATTTATCACTACGCCAATTAATCACTTATTTCGAGTATTTAAAATACTATAATATACAGTAATTTAAGTATTCGAAATAAAAGTGATTAATTACTCGAAATAAGTGATAAATTGGCGTTACTAGTAATAAATTTCTATAAGGGTTGAAATAAAGTATAAGAGATAAATAGGCTATATGTGAGCCGTATGCGAAATGTGAGATGTAAGACGCATATTAAAATTTAATTTTTCGATATAACTTTCAAAAATGTACACGAGGTACAAAAAATTAGCTTGGACATTTGTAAGACTTAAAATTGGGATTAATTCTCAATTCTATTAATTAAATTTCGATATAACACACCTTACATCCGCGCACGGCTCACATATAGCCCATTTATTAGTGCAATTTTTAAGTTCCTTATTTTTCAAAGTTCACCTTTTTACGTTATCAAATATTTTTACGTTTTCAAGAATTTTATATTTTAACTTACCGCAGTTTCTTATCCAAATGTAAAATCTTTTATCGCAGTCTATAAAAAATTGAAACAATTTACAATTTTATGATATAATATTATTATTATTACAATTTCTATATATATGCACATCTGTCAAATATCGTGATTTATTTCACATTATTATTATCTATTTTATAAAAAAAAAAACAAAAACACTTGCAACAATCAAAAATAAACCGCCTGCCGCGAACGGAAAATGCCAAGAAAGCACGCAATTTCCGCGAATCTCGTAATTTTTTTGAAAAATCAACAATTTCAACGAAATTGTAAATTCTTCAAATCACTGCACAAGTATAATTCACAATAATAATTTTCAGTAACTACGATAAAAAATCGTATACTGAAAACCGCAAACGAAAGTGCAATGGGAGTAAGAGTAAAGTCTGTGATAAAATTAATTGGCAATAGAAAATTAATAATTTTCAAATAGAAAAATTTTGAAATTACCGAGGATTTACAAATAATAAAGTAAAAATATTAAATAATTTATGTTTTCGAATTTTGCTCGCGGAGAGGATCTTTAAAACAAGATTTTTAGAAGAGAGGACCTTTAAAATATAAACAGGCAAAAACGTTGGAAAAATTAAAGCGCGCGTTTAAACAGATAAACGCAATGAAATAAATACGCAATTGTTTTTACTTATCGCTGTAAGCTCACAAGCTTCTGACGTGCTATACACTTTTATATAATATATACAAGGTGTCCGGTAACTAACGGACCAATGATTAAGGGCGGATTCTCTGGCCAATTTGGAGACGATTTTTCCTTAGCAAAAATGTTGAGAAGTCAATAATTTTCGAGTTATAAGCGATTGAAAAAAATAGGTTTTTTGAAAACTAAACGTTTTGGAGTTAAAAGTCTAACATAATTACATTCTTCAGTTAATTTCAGGTAGAGTTTACTATAATAAAATTTTAATTTAAGGCTTAGTTATAAAGATACATAATGACAAAGATTGGAAAGTTGTAAAAAATGATGACCTTTTTCGACATTTTCGCTGAGGAAAAATCGTTCCCAAATTGACCAAAGAATCCATTTGTAATCATTGGTCTGTTAGTTACCGGACACCCTGTATATTGGACACGAGTTTCGTTTGTTTCAGATTCTCGAGAGTTGAAGTAGGAACATACGAGTATCATATATCGTTTGTGACTTGCCGAATGAAAGCAAGACAGAGAGCGAACGAGATGATGAGCTTAATAGCTCATAATGTTATAAATAAATAAATAAAAAATTATAACCTGACCTACTAGTTATTGAATCTTTTTTTAATAAAATGTTTCATTATTATTATCATCTAAGTCTAAGTCGTTTAATTACTTTTTAGTTTTTTAATAATTAATTTAATTTATTCTAGTCATTTTTATATGAGAAAAATAATATCACGTATACGTTTTATAATGAATTAATATATTTCGGGAACCGAATTATATATTCTTAATAATATAAAAGTGTTCAAAAATTATATTTGACTTTTAATTTTAATTATTTTATAGCAAAGAGTTCCGAAATCTCTTACACACATAATGGGGATTTTTTTCATCCATATAATTCGCAATTAAGTATATATGTTAATTATTAATTTTAATAAAATAAAAATTAAAATTAAAGGTCAAATATAATTTTTAAACACAAATATATTAAATTAATTATAAAACGTATACCCATAATAGTATTTTTCTCGTACAAAAATAATTAGAGTAAATTAAATTAATCATAAAAGATTAAAAATTAATTAAAGAATTTAAACTTATATTTTATATAATAATAATAAAACATTTTATTACGTCAAACCGTCGTGAAATAATTAAATAAAATTTGCTAGTTACGTCAAAGTCAAGTTTTCTAAGCTTATACAACATTTTATTAAAAAACAGATTCAATAAATATAAGTACATGTTATATATATACTTATATTTAAATGATAATCCTTAAGAGTCGCCAGTAATAAATAATGAAAATCTCTCCTCCAATTTTAAAGTCGACTAGACTGGCAATAATTTATTTAAAAAATTAGTTAAATTACAACGTTTCGGCTGTCATTGCAGCCCTTTTCAAGTAATCAGATTAAAACAATAAATCAAATTTACAGCAAACCCCCGACAAAATTAACCATTGTTTTGATGAACAATGTATAACTGACAGAAGTGAGCACAAAAAAAAAATAGATGTTGACTGTTAGCAGGAAACTTAGTCACTGTGACTAAGTTTCCTGCTAACAGTCGACATCTATTTTTTTTTTTCGTGCTCACTTCTGTCAGTTATACATTGTTCATCAAAACAATGGTTAATTTTGTCGGGGGTTTGCTGTAAATTTGATTTATTGTATTAATCTGATTACTTGAAAAGGGCTGCAATGACAGCCGAAACGTTGTAATTTAACTAATTTTTTAAATAAATTATTGCCAGTCTGGTCGACTTTAAAATTGGAGGAGAGATTTTCAATACTTATATTTATTGAATCTGTTTTTTTTATAAAATGTTTTATTATTATCATATATAATATAAATTATTTAATTATTTTTTAATTTTTTTATGAGTAATTTAATTTGTTCTAGTTATTTTTGTACGAGAAAAATACTATCACGGGTATACGTTTTATAACGAATTAAATATATTTATGTTCAAAAATTATATTTGACCTTTAATTTTAATTTTGTATTTTATTAAAATTAATAATTAACATATATACTTAATTGCGAATTATATGGATGAACAAAATCCCTATTATGTGTGTAAGAGATTTCGGAACTCTTTGCTAAAATAATTAAAATTAAAAGTCAAATATAATTTTTGAACACTTTTATATTATTAAAAATATATAATTCGACTCTCGAAATATATTAATTCATTATAAAACGTATACGTATTAGTATTTTTCACATATTAAAATAATTAGAATAAATTAAATTAATTATTAAAAAACTAAAAATTAATTAAACGACTTAGACTTAGATGATAATAATAATGAAACATTTATTAAAAAATAATTATAATAGGTCAGGTTAATATTTTATTTATTTATTTATTTATAACATCATAAAATTCTGTCCTTTCCGAAATACGCGAACGCTACGAAAAGATAAATCTCGTACATGCCGCCGGACGAGTTCATGAGCATGAGACGCTCTTATCTTGGGAACGTATTAATAGTTACTGCATTGACCACTACTACGATATGGCACTGAAATCAGTGAGAAATGCTGGTCTCTCCTTCATCCAGACCTTTGGCGATCTGTCTATTAATCTGTGTCCATGTAATATAAGGCAATCAAAACAGACGGAACGGAACGCGCGGAAATGCGGGACTCTAGTAAAGTTTAGTTACTTTTTCTTCCGCGTTTCCGCGTTTCCGCGCGTCCATGTAATCGCACCCTGACTACGAGAGCTTCGCGCTTTCGTCGCGAGCGAATTGAAAATTTTTGAAGTCGAGTTCGCCCATCTTGTCGGTTCTTCGGATGCGCGGTCGTTAATTTGTGAACGAGACCTCAGCTTGACGTAGCTCACGCAAGGTATTCCGGAACGATCGCTTTTCTTCACCGTTATTTTTCGAGCGACTGGCTCGACGAAACTCCAGAGAAACGTGATAGTTTATCCACTCGACCTGGGCAAAACATGTCAGACACACGGCGACGTCGAAAATCCAATCAGTCATGCGGCTCCGACGATCTCTCGGACTCGTACGAGGAGCTGAACGCGACAAAGGAGACTCAGGTAAATCTTCGTCGACGTGCTTCTTTCTCTGGGAGAAAAACTCTTACCTCGATACATGAAAAATCTCTTGAAAAAAAGCCTATGCATGTTTTGTGCGTATTATGCAGTGTTTCACGTACGATCCAAATTTTACGTTTTTCACGCAGAACAAGATGACGAGTTTGTTGCGTGAATCCCTCTATTGAGAACAGATCGCAAAATTAAGTAGATCCATGAGTTGCGATCGACACTCAAATTTTATCAATTTTTTCTGTTTCCGATATTCTAAAATAAAGATCTAGAACTTTTTTTATGCTGATTTATCAACTGATAATTTTAAGAATCGTCCTTTTCTAATTTACATCTCATGTATGTATCTCGTGGTCTTGTCTTGTGAAATATATATTTTTGCAACATTTGAAAATTTTGAAGATTTTTTTAAGTTTGAGCAACATATTCTTTACCAATATGTTATTAGCAAAACAAGTATTTCTTGCTTTTTATTGAATGCAATTTGATCGAATGTTATACTTGACTCTGGCTTGTTTGTATACATATTACACTTATATTGCATAGAATTTATATTAGTTATTATATATTAGAAATAAAACTAAAAGGAATAATAGTGTCCAAACCATAGTATAATTAGAAAATTATATACAAAGTTAAAATTTTTTTATAATAAGTTCTTTGACACAACAAAATCTTATTTTTTTTAGTCAATCGTACAAGCTTCTGTTTCAATAATTTACTTGTAATTGTAAGCTTAGTCACCAGAATGTTTTCATTATATATTAAAATAGATGGAAAAATTATACAAATGTTGGTTCTTCAAAATTTTTATTTTTAATTTACTACAAAATTGTCAAGAAGATTATGTGGGCTGGTTACAAAAATAATTCTTTGATATTTTGATACACATAAATTTGTGTAAAACAATATGTTTGAGATGGTAGCAAAATTATATTCTATCACCTTTACTTCTAATTAGCTGTTCAGTGAGTTTACAAAACTTTTTCTACCTTTTTTGGATCACAGCACTAAGTAAATAAACAACTAAAAATAAATGTGTCCTATCACCAAGATTAATATTAATAAAAATATCTATTATGTAAAGGCACATACTTAAAAAGAATATATATTTATGATGTTTATGATTAATATTAAATATATATTAAATTTTATATTACTGAATATAATCTATTGTTAATTTATTTTTGAAATTATTAACAACATTTGTATAAAGCTCTTATGTTAACTTTAATATATATATATATATATATATATATATATATTGAATATTTTGATTGAAATATTTTTATAAAACTTTTGTTATAACAATTAATTTAAATTATTGTTTTGTAGATGAATATTGTTATTGATTGATGTATTGACTGTTGTCACGTTGACTTTTCTACAGAGTAGTGAACAGACTGATGGACATCAAGATTCAGAATGTGATATTTATGAAAGTGAAGATTCGGAAGCTGAATCTCAAGAAGGTGGTGAACAACGTGAAAGCGGTGATGGTCAAGAGGAAGAAAAGCCACAAAAGAAATTAGATGATGACGAGGACAGACGTAATCCGCAGTATATTCCGAAACGAGGAACGTTTTACGAGCATGATGATCGTACAGCTGATGAAGTAACTGATAATAATACTGAAACACAAACAAGTGCAAAAGAAGTTAAGGAGAAGAAGGTATGGAAGGATAAGGAAGATAGGTGGGATCATGATAGATATAATGATGAAGAACAAGCTCCAAAAAGACCTGAAGAATTGATAGCAACATATGGTTATGATATTAGAAATGAAGAAGGACCACCTAGAGCTAGAAGGAGAAGAAGATATGGGTGAGTGTTTATTAGTATAACATATCTTATATATATATATATATATATATATATATTTATTAATATTAATTTTGTTATAAATTACTAATTATATATATGCTTAGTCGTGGGCCTAACAAATACACAAGAAATTGGGAAGATGAAGATGCTTATGGAAAAACTATTACTCCTGGTAGAGGAAACAACAGACGCTTCCAGAAAAATAGTGAAGATTTTCCTGCTCTTGGTAATAGTAAGGTAAGTGTAATGAAATGTATATGATATTACTTATTATATATATATATATATATATATATATATATATATATATATATAAAGTTAATTATAAATTCTACTGAATGTTATCTTTGATTTTTCTAAATTGACACAGAACGCTTCGAGTAAAGTGGAGGAACCTGTGATTTCGTCAGCTTGGTATAGTAGCAAGAACAAAACACAGAATAAAACACAAAATTTTCCACCACTTCAATCTCAGCAAGATAACACAAAGACTAAGCCTACTACTGTCTCCAATACATCCATGTATGTATATATAATATAATGATTTTTCTATTCATTATTTTTACAAAGCAAATATCTTATTGACAAAACTTTGTATTAAAAATTGTTATAGAAATGAAAATAAAACACCAGAGGAACCTACAAATACATCTTGGAAAAAAGATAGCAAGCATGCTGTTCAAAATCAAAATACAAATGGAAATGCAGGACCTGGTGGTGATGCCGAAAAATCAACTAATATCAAAACATCGCCAAGGGAGAGTAGCAAGAGGAATCCCCAAGAGTCTGTAAGCTTGGCCGCGAGTAGGACGCGTGGAAGGGGTTTCAAGTCCAATGCTAATAACAACATGGTCACTAACAGAATAGTTGAGAATAAATCGAAAGGACGTGGTCCTGGTCCGGTTACAATTGAGAATAGAAGGAACAACACTGCGCAGCACAATGACGAGCACCAGCTTGCTCATGATATGAAACAAATCAATATTAATGATGGTAGTCAATATCATCAGCCTGTACGACATAACAGTAAGTTTATGTTAAGTATAATTCTCAAAAAAGAAATATAAGAAGCATATTTATTGAACAGTTTTTATTTTAGTGTAGCAAGATTTGCATATATTATTTTATATTATTTGCAAGATATTAATTTAAATCAAAAAGTGAAAATTGTATAAAATTAATCATTTTCTCAATTAAAATAAATATTGCTAATCTTTTCTTAAATATATTTTTGGCAATTTTATTTTATTATATTCGAATAATATTTGATGATTAAGATATAAAAACAAAAATTAATTTTTCACATTAAAAAAAATATTAATGTTTTAATCCTTATTTTTAACTAGATAATTGCAGTGTTGTTTTTAAATTAACCTTTATCTCTTTAATTTGTGTAGAAGGCTTTTTTGCATCCTCCAATCAACATAGATCAAACACTGTACCACCTAGAATGCAACAGCAGCAACAGTCACATCAGCAACAAACACATGCGCAACAACAAACAATACAACAACAGCAGCAGCAAGATAATTCTGGAAGCAGACCTAAACGATATTCCAGTCTTCGTCAACGACCTACCATTTCAGAAACTTCCGCACAACAGAATTATTCATCTCAACATGCTCAACATGGATATTTTCCACCTCAAGGTAATAATATATTCTGATATATCCTATTTTATTGCATTTAGCTTTACTAACAATAAGTCAATTTTTACAAAATATCTTAAATATTTTTAATACAAGCATATATTTAATATGAATATGTCACTTTTGCATACACATATCTAGCTGGAAATTCAAGAGCCGTTTTAGAATCTCAAGGTAAGAGAGAAAAGAGTACATATATATATATATATATAGAAGTTATTTTATTGTCTCGAAACAAATATTTTTATTTCTAAAACTTATGTTATTTTATTTGAAACAAAAATTATAAAAATCTCAATATATATTAGAAAAGATTATAGAAATGGAAATTGTGTTAAACTCATACTAAAAATTTTTTAATGATAGTAATATGATATATTACATTCTCATTATGTATAAATTTTGTGCTCAATTTCAATTAAAAATATTGTAATTTTTATTCATTTCAGAAAACGTGATATTTAATTCAACTCATTTATCAATATTTAATGATTTAGGTTACCCGCAAGGTCATTTTGAACAGTCTTCTCCAGTTACTCCAGCCACAGCACCTATGGCAGGGCAACCTGTTATTTCTTTACCACCTGGTGGACAAGCTGCCAGTTATGCGCCGCCGGCATTTTTAGTACCACCACCACAATTCATACCTCCCCAAACGGCACCTCCTAGTATAATTAATTACGTTCCTGGTCCAAACGGACCAACATTTTCACCAAACTTTCAAGGTTATCAGGGATATAATCCTTCAGTGCAGGTGAGAACGATAAATTTATTTAAACATAAAAAAAACAATATAATGCATCTTATATGTTTGTAGCCTCAAGGGCCACCACCACCCCAAGAATTGTTTCAACCACAAGGGTGTACTTATTATAGTCCTGCGCAGCAACAGCAACAACAACAACAAGCGGCTCCTATGCGGCGACCAAAAGCAGCGATACCTATTCTTCCACCGCCCGATAATCAACAGAGTAGCAGAGGAAGAGGTAGAAGCACTCAGCAGTATCAGAATAATCAATCGGGTAGTAATACACAACAGATTGAACAACAAAAAATCAAGAGTGGTAATGCAGTGGAAAGTGACGAAAAACCAATGCCAGGACAATTTGACAGTGCGCAAATTGAGCAGTCATACACACCGGATCAAGAATCCCAAAAGAATCAAGTTTCAGACATCGTTAGAACAGTGAATGAAGCTGAGAAAAAGGTAGAAATAAATACCGACGTCGATAATCGTATCAACGTTAACGTTTTTATTCAAAAAGATAGCTTGGAGGATAGCGTCAGTGTGAAAGAACTGTTAGAAGCAACTTCTAACGAAAAAAATACGATTGCAGACAGTCCGACGACGTTAGCCGTCGTTGAGACTGAACGCGAATTAGGTAATATTGAATCCGCAATTCCTGAGAGTACCATTGTGGAAAAAGCTGCAGCCTAAAAAGAGGTAATTATTATTTGCGCTTTGCATTCATACACAGCGATCGTGTTCTTTCAACTTGTTGCAAGTTGGACAGATGATTGTCGATCTGCAAATTATGCAGTTGAGGAACATTGCTTCTTATTAACTTATGGAAATATCATATTTGTATTAATAATATCCAAATAGCAGCTTTATAATGCTGACGTTATTGCTTGGTATATGAAATAACGATGAGTTTTTTTTCATATGTAAAGTCTATTTACATAACTGGTCATTATTTAGCGAAAGACATTATCATGTAATATACTCGGCAGCTGCGCGGGCCATGTGACTGTGACATGATATATTAAAATTGATATAATTCTATATATACATATATATAAATATATATACTTTTTCAATGTTATGACTACCTACAGTGCAGATGTTTGTAGTTATAATATTAACGAAATATATTTCATTAAACAACATGTAAGTTGTGCATCTCTTGGTACATGTAGAGAAATAATTTTGTACTCAATCAGGTTAACAGCAACATTTAATTTAAGGGATATATCTGTTTTCTATCTATCTTTATACGTTTCTGCACTTTTTTTTTTGCTCTTAAAACGAAATTGAAGGAATATCACACACACACACACACACACACACACACACACACACACACACACACACATATATATATATATATATATATATATATATATTAAAAAATGTGAAAAAAACCAGCTGAGATAAATATATCTAATATTTATTTATCACTTTTTTTCATATTATAGTGATTTTTTCTTCATGATATTTTATTTACATATTTTTAGTTTTACAAAAATTGGTTGTCACAACTAATATACAAATTTTCTTTATATATATATATATATATATATATATATATATATTTAAGCTACAAATCTAAGGTCTCAATTGAATATAATAGAGTAAGCACTCTATTATATAAGCAATGAATAAAATAAAATGATTAAATTTTTACACATTTTAAAAACAGTGAAAGTGCACCAAGAAAAATAAATTATTGATTTTTTTTCTTTTTAACTCAACACAATTAGACAAAGTTGTACAAAGCCTTAAGAAACAAAAGTCTATAAAAAAATTTAAATAGGAAATTTATATATAATAAAAATGGCACTTTTACGCAATAAAGTGTGAAAATAAAAATAAAATTGAGTCAAAAAAGAATATGTCATTCGCTCTAACATATATTGTACAGTTTATAAAACTAGTACTCTATGTGTAGTAACTTTATAATAACTTTAAGAAATAGCATTACATACTTTATTAAACTTTGTAGATATATCCTGATATGTCCAAATGTGTATCATAAAAAATAAATATTACAAGTGACACACAAAATGGGACATTAAATGCTTTAAATTATGCTGAATAGATAGAATATAATGCTTTATATTAGTATTTTTTTTATTTTTAAGCGTTCAAGTTTGCATTTTCCAATTGTCAATCTGTGATGTATATATTGTCATCTCTACATCTATATCTACAGTATAATAAAGTAGAATGTTTAAAGCAGCGAATTTAACGAATCTGATGCGCAAATTCATATGATTGTCTATTTACATATCAATTGAATATACATATAGTTCATTTTAATTCAGCAAAATTAAGAATATAATTTGTTGAACGAGAGATGTACTTATTTATATAATAGTAGTATGTAGGAACAATTTGATTTAATTCTAAGAATACTGGGTTCGATAAATTTTATTAGGGAATTATATTTTATTGCTGTACAAAGCGTCCCAAAATCACCAATGTACTTTTAACAGTTTTTTTTTACAGATTTAGAAATCTTGTTTTATGGAAAAAATGATGAGAAAAAGAATTACTTATTTTAAAAAATTTTTAATATCTTGTAATAAAAATGTTTGTTTTTCTCACTGAAATTGGTATGATTGATTTCAAGTCAGTTAAAATATATTGAACAGGACATGGTGTATTTTGGGGTATGAAATGCAGAAACAGAAATGAAATTTATTCCTGTTTCTCACTTTGCGGTACATTGATTATAGCACTAAGAGGTATCACCTCGGTACTTTGTTGAACATTATTATTATTATTATTATTGGACAGCGTATGAATTGATCTTGTATATGTTCGAGATCTCTGTTTAAGAGGATCTGAGATGCCTGTGACGTATCCACGTTTATGGACGCAAGTTCTGTTGTTGTGGGAACATCGAAAAGTACGCTTGAATTCCTTGCGAAATTTTCCTGCAACATACGTATACGCATTGCATGTAATTTTTATATATTCAGCGTTATGAAACGAATATTTATTGCTACACAGCGTAAAGTGCAATAAAAAACGCAAGAAAAGATATAAAAATTATATGAATGTGTGTAATCTGAAAGCAAGACTGGAGTAAATCTGTAATTTGTAATTTTTCACTTTAAATGGGTTCATATTTAATGTTAAGAATCGTGGAGTTTTTTAAGCATAGGGAATTGCACAAGTAATACAAAAATATAAATAATATGTAAGTTAAAGCGTGTGAAAAAAAAGAAAGCGATAAAAAGGTTGGAGATTCTATAATCTCAGATAACGTAATTTTTTTCATCTTCTACGCATTGTATTTAAGATTTCAATATTTCTTAAAGATGTAATTTAATTAATGTCCAATTAAAAATAATAATAGGCGTGAATGGTCCTACCCCACGCCTATTATATTATTTTTAATTGCATTTTACGGATTTATCTTCTCTAATTTAATTAATGTCGTCAGAACTAAAACGAATAGAGAGAAAGGGATAGGAAAAGTTCAAGAAGCTTTCGAAGCAATTCAAAGATAAGGCATATTTAACTTCGCATCGTGTGCAAAAATATTTCATCGAATGTTTTCGTAGTATTTTATGCGATTTATATTGTAAACAAAATTGATAAATACTAACTAGTTAAATAAGCAAATTTCGAGTTTTATTCCGCGTTTCGATATTTCAGTATTATTTCAATATTAAGTCACAAAATTAAATGAATCGCAATTCCTATCCCTATTTTTTAAACAAAATTGTCTAAAATATTTATTTAAGTATTTCAAATTTCGTGTCTGATGTTGAACGACCTGTGATTGGTCCGCTTTCGCTACTTGCAATGTCACACGGATCTAATGCCTGTGATTGGTCAGTCTGTCCCGACCTCGACACTGAGAATCGCAGGATCGCTCTTGAAGATTTCAAAGTGGATCTACGGAAGGCGGTTGTCCATCCACGATGTTCCGATCGATAATCCGCGTATTTTTTCGCTATCGTCGCTATCCAAAGTAAATCTCGCGGACGAGAAAATCGAGGACGCCTCGTAGAAGCGCAATCGCATCGCATAAATCCAGATCGTCCTAGCATTTCTCGTTTAAGTGCACGAGAAATGCCATCGACGAACGATCGTCGTCAGGTATGCCGTAATTAATTATATTCTGTAATTAATTAAATTTATCGCATTTTTGGAACAATATTTTATCATATCTAATTATATTCTGTTTGTATTTTTTTTTCTCAAGGTTAGGTATTACATATATACATATATATGTATATATTTATATTAATTTATTGCATAGATTATAGTCATAATTTTTTCTTTGGAGAAGTTTCGCCGTTGCAAGGAAAAATATATGTAATGGGCCGATTTAAAATTAGCAGGGTGGCCAAAAGCAAGTATTCATTTCTATGAAGTTTGTCTAGGAAATGCGACTGAAGCCAAGATGGCGGCTGCGATCGTATCGATGCAATCGATACTATCGACGCGAGCGAAATTGCGATTCTCGAATAGTTTACTATCGCGGTGAGTCGTCGAGGAAGACGTTGGTTCGCGGGATCGTTCCTTCGAATTCTTCCGTATTTTTCGCGATTATTACCGTTTAAAGTGAATCTCGGGCGCGAGAAGTTACATATAGTGCCTCGCAAAGTGATCATTTGTAACGTTAACGTGTAGAATCGTCGTTATGACATTATATATTCGCGATCCGATTCTACATCCGGGCGGTCGGTCGAAATCACCCTCGTACTCTCCTTGATTTTATGGGGAGTGCGATCGATGAACGATTGATCATCGTCAGGTACGTCGTTCGATAATTAGCTATATTGATTACATTCTTCGGTAATAATTTATATTTCAATTATGTCTCTGTATTTCCGGAATTAATAGTTTTTTAAGTTATATACTCCATTTCAGTTGCATTTTCCGCATTCATCCTCTTTGTTCTTCCCATTAAATATTCCATCCCATCTAAAGATTAGCTATATAATAATTCATAGCATACATATAATATAAACTATATGATATATTTATTATTTAAAGGGGGAGAGGTCTATACCCTCCCTCTTCTTTTAAATAACAAATAAATAAAGCAAACATTGGGTGTAGATATATGTCTATGTAATAATTTTGTTAAATTAAAAAAAAATAAAGAAAATTGGCATTTGCAATCATTTTGATATCATCGATAAACGATATTGCGATTCTCAAATATAAATTCCGAATCACGGAATTGTATTAGCATTATTCGCATATATTATTTTTAATGTGTCTGTTTATTTTAGTTATGTAAAAACGAATTTCTGCGCTTGCGAGAAATTTTATTTGTCGTAAAATATCAAACATTCAGAAATCACAATATGCGTGATGAATGATTAAATGTAATCGCTATTATATCCAATATTAAATTTCAGCATCAACCTTCTCATATGCCCGGAATCGAATGAAAACCATCCTCTTCATCGACGTGCAACGAAGATATGATAAATGCACACGATCATCGCAGGTATTTACATAGTATATATGTTCGTCAGATATCTACATGTCAAAGGTATGTCGATTCGTTCTACAATAATAGCTTCATTGATATGAGATATGGTTGTTATGAACCATGTTCTCATTACTAAAATATTATTTTCACATTATTGCCATTGCTATTACATATCTGATTTAATAAACAATGGAAAAGGGGGAACCTATATATAGATGCGTACTATGCACTATAATGCAACTATCAATGCAACTTCAATTATTTTTATATAACTCCTAAATGGAGTAAAATATTTACATATACTGATGGAACTGTCACTAATATTTAAAAGTAATGTAAAAATATTTGACTTTACATTGACATACAATATGCAAGCAGCTTAAATCTTTGTATTTCCATGCGGTTGCCCAATAAAACATTTTTATATATAATTGCATATGACATTATAAAATTATACAGAAATATAAAATGTTTTGTATAAGTTATAATTTTATATAACTTATATATAATTTTATATTAATATTGGGATTGATATCTGGTCAATATTTTAATATAAAATTATATATAATTATATATAATAAGTTATATAAAATTAAATATAACTTATACAAAATCTCATATATTATTTCTATAAAATTTTATATATGATTATACATAAAAAATTGTTTACCTGGTGCATGTCTGAGAATGATACTCTACATGGAGAAAATTTTCTCTTAGAATTTACTCTGAAAATCATGGAAAATCATAAAACAATATGGTATTGGAAGAATGTTATAAGAGTTTCTCTGGTTAAATATTTACCACAATAAAAAATATTAATATGTACATAGTAAAATTAATCGAACATATTTTATATCTAATTGTGGTAGATATTAATATTTTTATTGTGGTAAATATTAATTGAAGAAACTCTTATAAAATTTTTCCAATATCATATTGTCTCACGATTACCATTATTTTCAGAATACATTCAAAGAGAAAATTTTCTCTGCGTATGAAATTTTTCATTCTAATTAATACGCTACATTAATAAATAAATAAATATCTTGTACGGTTGAAGCCAAACCAATTTTTATGGCCTCACGTCAAGCTTCTTTAATTACTTTGAGCCTATTACAAGCTATAATATAGTATTTTTGTTATATTATATTATATATGTAGCGTATAATTAATACGCTACATTAATAAATAAATATCTTGTACGGTTGAAGTCAAACCAATTTTTATAGTCTCACGTCAAGCTTCTTTAATTACTTTGAGCCTATATATATTACAAGTCTTATACCAACTAAATTTTTCAATCGAATCTCTAATAACATTTCATCCAAGTCTAATATAATAGGGGGAAGAGGGGGACAAATAACTACAGCTCACCCTAAGCACACGATCGATTTAACGAATATTGACTTGCGAGTCCGTTCTGATTCCGACGTCGAACGCCGTCTCGGCCACGACGCTCGTTCGCACAGGTGCGTCAAGATGTATTTTCGTCGGTTTCGTTACTTGTTTCGCCGCGTGTCAAAACGGTCGATTTCGCAAGCTCGTATGGCATCCCCTCGTGTATCCGTCGCTGCACGGCAGCAGATGCCGATGGGCTGCCGGCAGCGTAATCATCCGTTTGCTCGGCGAGCCGCACTCTCGAAAACTACGACGGAACTCTAGCCGGAACTTACCTGCAAAGTATAGAGCACCGAATAATTCCGCGTGACTCGATTTAGCGAGCTCGTTAGCGGCCGGCGTATGTGTATATGCGGCCTTGTGTTTAATCTCCAGTTCGAGTTTTACGATTAATCTGCGTAAAACGCCGTCTGAGATCCATTAAATCTACATCTGCTTTCGCCCTCCGAATATTCTCCTTTTCTCTTATTCCTTAATCTTCTAATACAATCCCAAAATTTGTAGAAAAATGGAATTATATCATATATGCACACATGTAAAACACATCATATTGGTTCTATTATATTTCACAAATAAAATATTAGTATATAAGCTCGCTATGAGCCTAAATGCGATTATAAGGGCGCGTGTATTATGTAAATGGCAAATTTTAGTTTGAAAAAATTTTAATAAAAAAACATTTTCACAAACGAATGTTTCGACTCCTTTTTTCAGCCTTCTTGTTTGTCATTTAAATAATACTAATATTTTATTTGTTCCAATTATTTATAACACCTGACCATTTACAATATACGTAAGAAGAAAAGCAATATTTGAAGGAAATCACGCAGAAACACTCAGTTTTTCCCATTTCTCTTTCTGTGTTCTTTCAATAAAAGATGATAGATGAGAAATGATTTCAATTATAATTTTTACAAACTTTTAATTGATTATGCAATTGAAGTTGTGTAGTTTATATATAGAAACATCTATAGAAAACTTACTTATTATGTTATTCGTGATGTATCGCGCGCAAGTTTGTCTAAGGCAGCATCGTAATCTTTTTACGAAGCGGAGAAAATAAATTGAGATTTTTGACAACCCGCAGCCGCGAGAGCTAATTTTGCGTGAAGAATAGACCAGTTTTACACGGCGAAAAAACAGCAGCCGACATAACGGTTCGTGCGAGCATTGTATGCCTCTGACGTGTCATGCATTTTAATACAAGTCGCTTCGTACGTTCGGTAATCTTGTGTAATATCGGTGAAATATTACCGTATATTTATGTATTTCATACAGGATGTATCTCATTCTCAGAATAAATTTGCCGAAAATGGTGCCGATTCTATTTGTCGAGGATATTTGAGATTATAATTTCAGACCATGCATTAAAAACTTCATTGCTTAAAGAAGCATATCGTGTTATAGTATAATGCGAAATCTTACCGCTCATAAAGTTGTAAATGACAGGATTCACCGCGCTGTTGAAATAGCATAGCCAGTGGGCGATTAAACTAATTGCGATCGTCCATTGATTTGATGGTAAAGCCATGGTACATCTAAAACAATTTTCAGTACATCAATTATATGAAACGAATCAAAATAAATCAATCAAGGAATACTTTTATTTTCGCGTAAAATGCCTAAACTGTCGTATTGTTCAAAATTAATACAATTAACAATTTGTCTAAATTCTCTTATTTAATTTTTTTACTTCTGATTTTTCTCCTACTTCTTACGAAAATCATATTAATTTATCTATTTGGTCTCCACTTTTCTCTATTTATAAATTCTCTATATTAATAGATATAAGTTATCTTATCTATCTGTTCTTCACTCGTATAGAAAATCCTAGACTTAGCAAATTATCCTTTATAAATATATCAATAGATTCTTTGATTTATCGAAAATCGATATTTTCTTAGCAAGGATTTTCTTAGCTGAGCTACAGCTTTAAATTATAAACGATTAATAATGAAGTGTTAAACTTTTAATTAATTTCTCATTTAATTTATGAAGTAGAATTTATTTTAATGTATTTGTAATTTAAAAATTATAAAGATATAATACTGAGGCATGGAACAATTGTGAATGCGACAAAAATGATAAAATCTCTTTAAAATTGATTTTAAATTGGTAAAAAATTTATGCACAAAAAGTTACAGATTTGGGAGGCTTTGTATATAGATTATCGACGATAAAAGTATAAAGAGATTAACAGAATGCAGTACGAATAAAAATAATTTACGTCATATTGGAAAAAGTCTTTAGTTTGCAACAGCTGCGTTCCCGAGAAATTAAATAAAATATAAGTACTTATCACTATACATATACACGTATATACGTATTCACGCATTTTTTATTATTAATCATATGAGATCATATAATCGGCGTAGAATTTGAAATAAAATATTTCAAAATTTCTATCTAGATTAATGATTGTAATTATTTTCTTTATAATTTTGTAATATATACTATATACTTTCTTAATCTCATTCTCTTAATTTAATATTATTTTATCAAATTTCATGTAATTTAATGTAATTTGTATTGATAAAATAACGTATATTGGCACTTAAAACTTGCTGTCATTTCACACGTTAAAATATTCTTGACGTAATGAAAGTTCCGCTTTATTGGTTGACACAAATTTCAATATCGAATAGCGTCGAAATTTCGCATTAATAAACCTTTCAATGAAACATTTACATAAGATATACAGTAATGAAATTCTCATGCAATGCGTTACTATAATACATGAGAAAATACGTAATAATATTGCAAATATCGCGAAACGTACCTTAAAATAGAGAGCAAATGCACTGGGAAGAAACATATCGCGAATGTAATAACCACGGCAACTAACATTTTCGCTGCCTTTCGTCGAGATCTCAATTGTCCTTCTGGATTTCCACCTCTGGATAGTGGAATCTCAGTTGAATGACAGATTCTAGTAGATACTGTAAAATAAAATATAAAAAAGTTAATAGTTATTCATTTATATTTTCTCATCGAAAAAAGGGCTGTTTTTATAAAAAGGCAATTATAAAATTTTTAATTTGCCAATTACAAACTTATATATTCTAAAAATTAAATTATTAGACATATAATTCATCAAAATTAAATGTAAAATGTTATTTTATCACTTATTCTGTTTTATTAATATGCGAGACGTCACAACTTTCTTTAAAATAATTTTGTAAATTTTAAACTTTTTTATTTACGTTATGTTTGTTTTATGCTATTTTTTGCACAAAATATTACATATATTAAAATATTACATGTTATATTATATACTTATTGTGACATATAATTGCAATGATTCGAGCATTTCTCTCATTTATATTGATTTATCAAAATTATATTGTATTTCAAAACGAAAATTATTATATTTCAAAATAAGCGGCTTACATCATAATCAGGATAATGATTTCAATTTCAATGGAACTATAATTTCATAATAGATGAAACTAGTCCTTCAATAGATGCTTTGGTAAAGACATACTGGATTTTACGTTTAAATAATTAATACGCACGTGCATGTGCATAATCTCTCGCATGTGAAATAATATCTCATATCTCTTTCAATTAGTTATATCGAGTATTACAATTAAAATTACAAAAGGAAAGAAATTATAATTGTACACAGTAATATATATATATATATATATATATATATATATATATGTATATGTGTGTGTAAATTTTTTCGATATTATTTTGTTTGACATAAAAAATGAAATTTATTTTTTTAATAATTTATATGTATATATTATTATATATATAAATACGTATATTTTTATGTTTAATTTTATATTATATTAAATATTACACTAAATATATTATATCAGATTAATTTGACTGGCATTTTAAATCTGGAATATATTCTGTGATTCATATAAAGTAGATCATAAAAATATATACTTTTCTTTACTTTCGAAATTCAAATAGACTGTTGACGGTGGGTAATATATCAATGTTGAATTCTCGTAAAAAGGCTAAAAAAGAGGATCTATCACATAAACTTTCAATTGAACGTTATATGAATGTTTGCGTATTTGGATAGCTCGTGCAAATATTCGTTATTATATTATTTTTTCGAAAAGAAAAATAATTTTTTCGTAAACTTTTTTTCAATTGTCCAGAAATATTTTATGTTTTAATATTTCACAACGTTAAAATAAATATTATTTATTATATTTTTTAGTCTCAATAGAAGTTATTTCCGCCAAAATTTTTGAAACATTTCTTCACCTATCATCGAATTGAAAAGATTAGAAGAAATTAATTATGATTAATTATGAACTCTCTAATCATATATTATACGTAATAAATTATATCTCTATTTAGCAAGAGTTTTATATTGAGTAAAAACGTGAAACTTTTTAAAGAAATAATTTACAATAAATTCAGAAAATTGTATTATGTTAGCTATAAGTGATGAAACAATTGATAATAATTACTAAAAATAAGAATTTTTTGCTTACGATTATGTCCTGGAATATCGCTTCTCCAAAGAACGCATACAATCTGCCAATATGCTACGCTCATAAAGAGCAATGGCACGGTGTACAGAAATATCAGTTTGACAATCGTAAAGGTAGCTTGACTTTCTTGACTCCACGACCAGACACACTGTGTGAATAATATAGTTTGCACTCGACTGCTTGACGGTACAATGTGCAACACCAGCAATTCAGGAATATCTGATAAAAACACATAAGACATTGATAAAGTTGTATTTTTTATTTTGTTTGCTAAGTAAATCTCTGAGAAACATTTTTGGAAAAAATTCATGCGAGCGAATATCGATTTTTATAAGTATAAGATAGAATTAGATCTTAAAAGAAACATTTTTAATATTTAAAAATGATATTCAAACACATTTCAAGAATAATATTTGAATTTTACAAAGCGAAATATAATATTTGATATTAGATATTAAAACATCTATAGCATGTATGAGTAGCCCAGAATTAATATATAGCAAACACGGCGTAATAAGTTGCCATTAATTTCTTTTTATCAGAATTATGTTTAATCATTAATATTGTTTTTCCAAAACTTTAAAACGTAAATTACACTTTCTAGATGAAAATAAATGAGGAATAAATTTATTTTTCACTATCTGACGTTCTGCATATAGGCGTACGTATAAATATTAATTAATTAAAAGTAATATATTTGAAATAATATTAAACATGACACAATACGATCTAGCATCCTGTTTGATATATTCATCAATAAGTAATTAAAATAATTTGTCTCCATTAAAGATAATTGTACATAGATAATTACCAAAAAGCAATGCTATCAACCAGATTACTATGATAGCAGTTTTAGCTCGGCCTGTTGTAGATTTGAATCTCAATGGAAAGCAAATGGCATACCATCGGTCAATCGATATGAAAGTCAACGTCAAAACGCTGACGCTCACCGATACTGTCTGAAACAATAAATAACGAATTGAAATTGTTATATATTAACTCTGCAATTTAAAAATTTTTTGTACGTTTTTATTGGAACGCTAACGCTCATCGATATTATCTAAAGCAATAATTACCGAATAATTAAATTAATATTAAAATAGTTAAATATGTTAAATATTAATATTTTTGTACATCTATTCTGTAATTTATAAATTTACATTTATATTTCAACCCATATTTATTATACATAGATATCATTTACGAGAATATCATTGACGATTTATGTATATATATAACGATATAAGTATGATATATGTACATATGACATTCTTCACGAGACTCATCAAATAGGTTGATCGTATTAAGATATGAGAGAGGATATGAGATGAGCACATTATGTCTTGACGACAAAATGGTATTAATAAAAGCCTACTTTTCCTATTACTCATGGCTCGTAACTTCTCGGGTTAGTTTGTAATATAACTCAAGCTTTCGTGATTTCCATAAAACAGATACATAGCGAGATTGAATTTTAAATTACGCATTTTTAAATTATGCTGTCGCAAACAAAAGATTTTTTCCCCTGCAATTTGCAGTACACAGTGTACAGCGACGTCAGATTGTTCTTCTGTTTTGCTGTGCATTTACAGAAAACGTGAACACACATTTTCACTTTAACGACTATTGTTATAACGTCTTTTATATAATAAGAAGGCAAGCTTTTCTGTGTGTGACGTTGATAAATGTAGTACACGTTTATTCGTGAAAATATACATCTGCTTCAGATATTCAAATATCACTTGTTGAACTTTTCGCAGATTTTACTTAATTTTATCATGTGCAGTTTATTTATTTAATTTACTTACTATGAACTTTTAAATTTGGAAATGCAAAAATGTAACAATGGAATATATAGAAAGATTAAACGAATATAAAATAACATTGCACGACATGATAGGATGTGAAATTGAAAAAAGTACAAAATGCTTTTAGAATAATATGCATTCATTGTATTATTGTATATACACTTTCGTTACGCAAACTTTTTTAATATAATAACGCGCGTTTTATATATTATTATTTAATAAAAATGTAGAATGTAATAATTTTTTTTATTTCATAAAATATTTTATATCGAGATAATAGATTGAAATCGCGTTGTCAATAAGCCGCTTAATAAAATTTCTGCTTGTTACGTTTACGTAAAATATCACATGGGACAATGGTGTAGATTGCAAGAAAAAACTATTCGATATTGTAGAAATCTGTGGAATTTCTTTTGTAATGTCAGATTATTTTTATTTTACTGAACTAATTATAGGAAATTAGAAAAGCAGTAAAATCGTTCGATTAAACAGAAGCTGTAAAAACTCTCTTTGAAACATTATACATTATTGGAAATGTAAAACTGCACAAAATTGCTGTACTTTCTGCTACGTAGTTTGATTAATCGGCTCCATCGAAATAAAGAATGCCAACAAATAATGTACGCATAACATTTGTTGATTTTCCGAAGAGAAAAAGAAAACCGTCACCACTTGAAACTTTTTACTTTTTATTTCTTGAAATGAAATAAAATTGCAAAAGATTTAAAATTATATAAGAAAATATATTACATTGATGCAATTGTTTATTAAAAAATAATAATTTATTTCCAATAGAACATATCTTCTTGATTCTTCGCAAAATATACGTTATCAAAACTGCGTCAAACATATATATATATATATATATATATATATATATATATACATATATGTATATATATGAACATATATGTATATATATATATATGCTTGACGCAGTTTTGATAACTTATATTTTGCGAAGAATCAAGAAGATATGAATTGTGACAGTATCCTTCCAAGAATGTATATATCGTATAGTAGAAAACGGTGCAATTTAACAAACGACGTATGTCATTAATCAAGGAAAGAAGGAGAAAAGTAGTCAGGAGAAATTGGACGAAACAGCAGATTTATCCGAGTAAGAAGGTATCGAGAGTAAGAAGTATTTCTCGAGATTTATATATTACTGCATTGACATATAAAACGTACAAAACTGTAACGATTTCATCTGTATAAATAGTTTGATTAATCATCCGAATCAAAATAAAAGATAGAGTTTATTGTCGATGAATGCAATACGTACAATATTAAAGAAAATACGTATGAATAATAAAAGTAAAATGCAATAAATATAATGAAAATATTATACAATTAAATATTTTTTACAGTGCACTGCAAAATATTATTTTATTAAACATTATAAAATTAAAAATTTGTAATTAATTCAAAATAAAGTTTTACGATGTGCATTATTATGAATCTTAAATAGCAGAAAGACTTTTTGATTTTGATACATGTTTGTATGATTATATATATTTTTGCCTCAGATTTCATTAGCTCCATCTTTCATTTTATTCGGACGATTAATCAAACTTATATAGATGAAATCGTTACAATTTTGAACGCTTTTGCATGCAGTGATATACATAATCTCTTGAGAAATTTTCTTCAAGAAGTTGAAATGAATTAAAAATTTGAAATTCAGATTTCATTGAATTTTCTTTTTACTTAAAATGTTAATTTGATATTTTAATCAAGCATATATTATACGAACACACATTTAGAGTTACGGTCACCTCTGAAAAGCATGTAGAATATGCTTCTTGCATTTCAAGGACAATATTGTGGCATTCAAGATCTATGAATTTCGCCACATCAAAGGATCTATCCAAAGGACGCGTAATTATTGCTAAAGGGCCGATAGTTCTGTGCGTGGAATATCCATAACGAATGGACGAAGATCCTAAACTGATTTTAATGATCTGCAAATATTGAAGAGTAAACAGCAATATTCTGTAAATTTAATGCCGTTAATTTAGTACTGCTACACTAATTAAGGTCAGTGATCATTAGAGTTATACAAGCTTCCCACATATTACGGAAATGTCAGAGAGAGATACAATAAGGGTAATCGAAATGTAGAAAAGGTTAAAAGCGTTGTCTTGTTAGTTTCTTGATTATGGTTAATTGGATTATTTTTTTCTTAGATATTTTTTCATTATATCGCAATTGAAAAAGCGTGTTCCTCTAACATGGTAGAAATATAATATGATAATTAAAAAAAAACGTATATGTCTTTAAAAAAATATTAAACAATTTAATTATTAATTATACGAATATTACTTGCATTAAATCGCGACATTATATCATCTAACGCGAAATGGACCCCGAAAAGGGAACAGCGGAAATTACTGCGTGCATGCGGAGTTTGTCCGTACCCGCTTAGAGCGGATATATTAATCCAATCAAACAGTTTGAACTCACTTTAAACTGCGGCACTACACTTCCCCGTTATGATAATTAGATCGGCAAAACACGAGTCGATAGAGGAGATAAGTCGTTGCACGTCCAACGCACATTTTATTACTTGTTGAATTATTTTTTTTATTCTATGATATGTCATATATGCATATCCCCCATAAGACCTTAATATATATTTAAAAATTCTCTAACGAAATTATATTTACAGAATAATAATTATGTTTAAAATAAAATATAATAAAAGCAAATATAAGCAAAACTACTATATAGAATTAACAATAAGATGAGCAGAGGGATTCTTTTAGAAATTATTAAATATAGTAGGCATTTTTTCACAGGATCCCAATTTTGTCTGGACATAATCAGGGCTTCATATATTCTTTTAAAAATATTTCTGGAATCCAGGTGAAAAATCTAACTAGAACCTGTGTAAAGTTTGAATTGTGTAACGTTTAAATCGTACAGATCATATCGCAGAATCCGGGTGGGCTTAAGATTACGCACAGAATTTGTAGAAAAATTATTTGGAGTTTAACTAAGACCTATAATTTTTTAAATATTTGCTTGATTTGTATTATAATTATTTCTATAAGCTAGATTATTTAATCTTGGCCCCATATATAGTTTCATATTTATTCTAATTTGAGAAAAAAATGTCAGTTGCAATCTATAACCCAGATTTTTTCGATTTTTTTCCTCGGTAAAATAAAGGTAAATTTCTAGGGTGTATTTTGGACTTAGACAGATATTTCAAACTGGATTTTTTTACCTAGGCTTTGTATTTAATCTCGGCAAATCGAGGCAGATTTCTACCTGGGATCATATATCGGATATTATTTTAATGGATTGCGTTTAATATTAATTTCAAATTTGCTTTCGTAGATTAAGAGAACATTTAGCAGTGAAGTTGAAGTATCCTGTAATATGGATCGATAGTTATCAGTTTGGTAGGATCGACGCATTCTCATTTGCCAGACGTATAATTACGTTGCCGCTTCGATTCGTATGCAGCGTCATTTTTCTTTCATGACGTTTAAATTGTAGCCAAGTCGAAGTTCGTGCCGTACTGTGACGTTAAACATACAAATCGCGACGAGAGCGCGATTTCTCGTCAAAAAAAAAAAAAGAAAAGAGAAAAAGGAAGAAAGAGGAAGATGAGAGAATAAAAAAATATGACGCAGTAAACGCATAAATTCACGTATACTGCGACATGCTATATCAAGAACGCGAACTCCGATGCGTCCAAGTGATATTTTACATGCAATATCCCTATCCCGCGACGCGATCAATTGCGATGAATTTTTCAGGAAAATATTTCGACGTACCCCGAAGCGTACTGGTTCATCTCGCGCTTGTAGTTTCGAGCACGAGAACGAGAAAATTACGTTGTTGCGTTAATAGGTACGTGGCACGTGACACGCGCGAACCACTGAGCACGTTTTAAGTACATTAGAGCAATCTTGACTTAAACGAAAGTTACATTTTGTACCTACGTGAACATAAGTTTTTGACGTACGTAGAATATCGCTAAGAAGATAAGAAAGTTCGAGCACACAGTAAAATTTCGTAATTCGTGCCTTGAAGTATTATTTATTATCTATAATCTATAATAATTTGAATAAATTATGCGGAAAAATTTATTTTTAAAATTTGATAATTTAGTTACTTATAAAATATATTGTAAATAT